CGCTGAATCCAAATTTGAATTCTGTTTGGCCCGGTCACCCTTCAATTTTGAGTAAAATGCAAAAAACCTCAAAAAATTGCGAAAAACTGCAGTCACAGCGATGAAAAAATTTTTGTGGACCCGGATCAAGTATATAATTTTTATGTATTTCAATTTACTGAATCTGAATCTGAACAACCAAAAAAATTGCCATAAATCATGAAAATCGAAATTATCGAGATGAAAAAAATTTTTTGGATTCAGATTAAGTACGATTTTCATGTATTTTGTTCCACTGAATTTGAATCTGGTTTTATTAACGTTTTAAAATTAAAAAAAATCTCAAAACACCAAAAAAATCGGGAAAATTGCAGTTATAAATATAAGAAAAAATCTATTATACACTATCGTTTAGACATAAGGGAAATGAAAGGTAGTTATGAAGTAAATTAGAATGTCAATATGATGGCAAATTTTGCTAACAAGAGAAATACCAGAGGATAAAACGTAGGTCATTTGAAGATAAAACAATTTAATACAAACGAACGACAGTCTAAAATTCAAAAATACGGTTTCGTACCTCCTCCGTACATGCTATTTATTAAAGATTTTAAAATTTTTTAATTTTAAGATCATATTCCATCCATAAAAATGCACCCAAATAATTAACAATAGTGTTTACAATTTAAACCGATTTGGACCGGTAGATTAAGAGAAATCTCAAAAAACCTACAAAAAAAAATTAGGAAAACGGTTGAATCTGAAGGCCATCCCGGCAACTTCCCACTACTTTCGTAACTAAACGCTCAAAATTGCACGTATGACGTTTTTGAGATCTTCGAGCTCAAAAATATAATTTTCGTGTAGTTTTGAGCTCTCCGAGCTCAAAAGTCTGATAGTAGTTAAATAAAACACGATTTTTTGAATTTTCAAACCGCAATAACTTTTGAATGAATGGACAGATTTTCACGCGGTTGGCGGCATTCAAAACAGTTTTTCAAATTCGATGATTTTGATTCACACACACACACACACACACACACACACACACACACACACACACACACACACACACACACACACACACACACACACACACAC